CAAAAAAACGAAAAAATCCTGACTGATTTTGGCCAAAAGCCGAGTTTTATCAGCACAAAAAACAGAGAAATCCTGACTGATTTTGGGCAAAAGCCGAGTTTTATCATTACAAAAAAACAGAAAATCCTGACTGATTTGGGGCAGTTTTATCATTACAAAAAAACGAGAACCTGCCGCTTTTGGCCCCGTTTTGAGTCGGTAAACGTCAGACTGTGGTTGGTTTTTGCTTTTTCTGGGTGGAGGTCGGGGATTTGTCGGGATTTGGCCGGTGAGGAAACCGCTGGACCCGGTTAGAGGGGAGGGAAAGATGAAAGTGGAAACTGGAACGGTTTCGGGTGCGATTCTGGGCAGAGAGAGGATGTTTAACAGCCAAACCACGAGAATATCCCCCCGCCCAAAATAACGAGGTCAAAGGTCAACCTCCCGTTAGCCCCCCTGACCCCGCGGGTTTAAAGGTGTTTTATGGGATTTAAAAGCGGATTTTGAAGCTGTTTTGGGGGATTTTAAAGCTGTTTTTGAAGCTGTTTTGGGGATTTTAAAGCTGTTTTTGAAGCTGTTTTGGGGATTTTAAAGCTGTTTTTGGTGGTTTTGAAGCTGTTTATTGGGATTTTGAAGCTGATTTGGGGATTTTGAAGCTGTTTTATTGGATTTTAAAGCTGTTTTTGGTGGTTTTAAAGTTGTTTTATGGCATTTAAAACAGTTTTTGGTGGTTTTAAAGCCGTTTTTGGGGGATTTAAAGCTGTCTTTGGTGGTTTAGAAGCTGTTTTATGGGATTTTAAAGCTGTTTTGGGGGATTTTTAAGCTGTTTTATGTGATTTTAAAGCTGTTTTTGGTGCTTTTAAAGCTATTTTATGGGATTTTAAAGCTGTTTTTGGTGCTTTTAATGGTGTTTTATGGGATTCTAAAGCTGTATATGGGATTTAAAGCTGTTTTTTGTGGTTTTAAAGCTGTTTTATGTGATTGAAAGCTGTATTTTGTGGCTTTTACAGCTGTTTTGGGGGATTTAAAACAGTTTTTTTGATTTTAAAGCTGTTTTGGGGGCTTCAAAGTACGGCTTAAAGCAGGGTTTAAATTGTTATTTTTTTGGCGATGTAAAATTTCTCTCCGGGATTTTAAAGCTGTTTTGGGAGATTATAAAGCTGTTTTGGGAGATTTTAAAGATGTTTTGGGCAGTTCTAAAGCTGTTTTACGGGATTTTAAGCTGTTTTGGGGGCTTTGAAGTAGGGCTGGGCAATTTTTTAAAAATATAGATTTTCTTGGCGATGTAAAATGTCTCTACACTTACAAATGAGACCTTCAAAGTTTCATCAGATCTTCAAAGTTTTCACAGACAGAATAGCCGATCGCCTCTAAACCCTCGGTGTTTTCACAACAGCCCACAGAGGCTTACAGCCCAAACAGTTCTGACCTTTAGCTGGAAACTTTCCACCGGGGACGGAAAAAAGCTCTGGAAATCTGGCTCTTTTCCTCTCCTTACATCTCTATTTGGTCATAGTTTGGTGGTCTTTTGCATCTTTGATTTATTTAACCTTTTTCTGTGTTTTCAAATCAAAACTTGCCCAAAAAAATGACAAAAAATTAGACCATTGTTTCTTTTTCTGTTAGTTCTGTGTCTGTTTTTTGCATCTTTTTTGGTCATTTTCAGTTTTTCCACTATAACTTTGAGTGTCTTTTTGGTCATATTTTGTGTCTTTGCTGGTGTTTTGCATCTTTGGTATAGTTTTATGCATTTTTTATTTATTTATTTGGACTTTTTCTGTTTTTTCTGTCTGATATATCAATTTCAGTTTGATTTTTTTCATCTTTTTTGGTCATTTTCAGTGTTTCCACTATAACTATAACGTCTTTTTGGTTATAGTTTGTGTCTTTGGGGTTCTTTTGTATCTTTGGGATAGTTTGATGCATTTTTTGTGGATTTATTAAACCTTTTTCTGTTTTTCAAATCAAAACGTCCCCAAAAAATCACAAAAAATCTGACCATTGCTTCTTTTTCTGTTAGTTTTGTGTCTGATATTCATTTCCGTTTTATTTTTTGCATCTTTTTTGGTCATTTTCAGTGTTTCCACTATAACTTTGTTTGTCTTTTTGGTTATAGTTTGTGTCTTTGGTGGTCTTTTGCATCTTTGGTAGGGTTTTATGCATTTTTAAAAATGTATTTGGACTTTTTTTTGGTTTTGTGTCTCAGATTAATTTCTGTTAGATTTTTTTGCATATTTATTGGTCATTTTCAGTGTTTCCACTGTAACTCTGTTTGTCTTTTTGGTTATAGTTTGTGTCTTAGGTGTTCTTTTGCATCTTTGGGATAGTTTTATGCATTTTCTGTGGATTTATCTTGCCTTTTTCTGTTATTTGGGTCTGATATACCAATTTCAGTTTGATTTTTTGCATATTTGTTGCTCATTTTCAGTGTTTCCGCTGTAACTTTGTTTGTCTTTTTGGTATTAGTTTGTGTGTTTGGTGTTCTTTTGCATCTTTGTGATAGTTTTATGCATTTTTATTTATTTATTTATTTGGACTTTTTCTGTTTTTTGGGTCTGATATATCAATTTCAGTTTGATTTTTTGCATCTTTTTTGGTCATTGTCAGTGTTTCCACTGTAACTTTGTTCTGTCTTTTTGGTAATAGTTTGTGTCTTTAGTGTTCTTTTGCTTATTTGGGATAGTTTTATGCATTTCTTGTGGATTTATTTGGCCTTGTTCTGTTAGTTTTGTGTCTGATATATCAATTTCAGTTTGATTTTTTGTACATTTGTTGGTCATTTTCAGTGTTTTCAGTGTAACTTTGTGTCTCGTTTTTGTTTTACAGTTTGTGTTTGGTGTTCTTTTGTATCTTTAGGATAGTTTCATGCATGTTTTGTGGATTTATTTTGCCTTTTTCTGTTTTTTGGGTGTGATATATCATTTCAGTTTGATTTTTTGCATATTTTTGGTCATTTTCAGTGTTTCCACTGTAACTTTGTCAGTCTTTTTGGTTATAGTTTGTGTCTTTGGTGTTCGGGGGACGGACTTTGGAAAAAAAAAAGCTGAGGAAATGTGGCCTGTTTCCTCTCCTGCTCGGGGCACTTACATCCCTCATTACACGCTCACTTACAGCAAATCGCATGTGAGCTTCAGTGGCACAGAAAGAGCCGAACGCAGAGTCCTGAACTGCCTTTGACTTCCTGCTGTTTTGGTTTTGGAGCTCTGAAGAGTTAATGGTTTACCAGAGCTTCAAAGTGACAAGTGAACCAGCGCTCGTTCGGTTTCGCTCCGGCAGAAATAGCTGAACAGACGCAGACTTTAACCTCGCTCAGCCGAAAGATTCTGTCCCCTCTCCTGCTCTCCATCCGTTTAAAACTAAAACTCCTCTGTTAACAGCCGGGGTCACTCGCGCTGCCTCAAACTCGCATTAAAACTCATTTAAGCCAGATAAACTGTCTAGTTTTGGTTTAAAAACTCAGTTTTAGCCAGACAAACTGCCTCGTTTTGGCTCAAATTCACATTAAAACAAAGTCTGACTGAGATAAAATGCCTCGTTTTGGCTTAAAAACTCAGTTTTAGCCAGAAAAACTGCCTCGTTTTGGCTCGAAATCACATTAAAACTCAGTTTGAGGTAGAAAAACAGCCTCATTTTGGCTAAAACTCAGAAAAAATCAGTTTAAGTCAGAAAAACTGCCCCACTCTGGTTCAAACTTGCATTAAAACTCAGTGTCAGGCAGAAAAACTGCCTAATTTGGGCTCATATTCACATTAAAACTAAGTGACTAATAAAAACGGTCTTGTTTTAGCTTAAAAACTCAGTTTTAGCCAAACAAACTGCCTCGTTTTGGTTCAAACTCGCATTAGAACTCAGTTTGAGGTATAGAAACAGTCTCGTTTTTGCTCAAATTCACATTAAAACTAAGTCTGATTCAGAACAACAGCCTCATTTTGGCTAAAACTCAGAGAAACTCAGTTTAAGTCAGAAAAACTTCCCAATTCTGGTTGAAACTCACATTAAAACTCAGTTTCAGGCAGAAAAACTGCCTCGTTTTAGCTTAATAACTCAAGTTTTGGCAAAACAAACTTCCTAATTTTGGTTCAAATTCACATGAAAACTCACTTTAAGTCAGAAAAACTTCCTGATTTTGGTTCAATCTCGCATTCAAACTCAGCTTGAGAGGACCCTCAGGATCCAAAATGGCCGCCCACAGCTGGAGGGAAACAGCAGCTCTGTCAGGCTGCGGCACGGCGGCGGAGGCGTGGTGGTCTGGGCTGTTTTTTTTTTTCTGTCCCTGAAGAGGCTGAAGCTGTAAAATCACCTCCAGAACC